ACATCATTTGCAACAGCGTCATCAGAATTTGAGATAGTGTTCATTCTAAGGAAGAATTCTTGACATTGACAAATTATACAAAGTTCTTTGTTGTAGATTTGAGATTTTGAACAAAGCAATTTTCCATTACCTTTTGACATTTGACTTGAATCTTCTGATTCATCTATGTCTTATATGGGTTTAGTTTCAGGATTGCTTGCAATAAATATATTGTGTTGTTCAAGCAAACGTTGCAAACTTTTTCAGTGGATGAACTTTTTGTAACACTCTGAGTGATAAACACCTTTTTCATCTAGTTCCTCGTATGGTACTTCTTTTAACTTTTAGTAATAATCTATTGCCTCTGGGCATGATAGGAGTACCTTTGCCTTAAACATACCATTAGTTTTTCCAAAGCGCCACGCGAATTGGTTTTTACAATCTGAAAATAAATTTAGTAATTGCTAGGAGACACTTTCAAAAACTACTTAAAGAACATATCCAAAATGCATCAAATCATATTTTTAAAGGATAAGAGATGTAAAAATACATAGATTTATATTTTTACGTAGATATATGAACTAACAGGCCTTGTTTTAAAGCGTTATGCCTAGAGCGATTTACGTACGCCTTAAGCGATTTTTACATACACGTAGAGCTGTTTTGGTTAAGCTACTTTTTATCATTTTTTAACTTTTAAATTAGCGGTAACATAAAAGAAGTAATTAATTTTTAAAAAAACCGCATTAACTTTTAAACAATATGTAAAGATATTTATTACAAAAAAGAATTTATGTTAAAAATAATTGTTGTAACTTTTCATCGCGACATATATCTTACCTTTATATAGCAATTAATTTTACGCTAAACTTTTTATTTATAAAGATTTACTTTAAAAACTTTTAAGTCTTGGGACTTTGCCAATGCTTTGTCTATGCGATGATCACAGAAAAAGAGAAGACTTACGTTATTAAAATCAAATGTAGTTATGTGATCTTCATCAAAATAAAATATTATCCAAAAACAATGGTGCCGTAAGGGCAGCTGCCCTACGGTTTATAAATAACACATGTCATGTTAAAATATTTTAACATGTTACTATATTTTAATTAAGTTGATATATAAATAAAAATAAAAATATAGTTAAATAAATAAATTAAATTTTTTCTTAACAAATATTATCTTATATCTATTCTTTTTTTATTTTATTAAGTTAAATTGCTTACAAATAAAAAAAAAAAAAGAGTTTTGTAATTAGACGTAGAATGAAAATACTATTGAGTTTGTTTATAAGTTAAGGAACTTAATTTTACGAACTTAATTTTTCTTAATTTTACGAACTAATTTTAATAAACAAAATTTTAAGAACGTTTATTATAAACAGATACGATTCAAATTATTAAATATACTTATATTATTTTAGTTGAGTATTTTTTTAAGTTAGCACGATTAAAGTTTTGCGTAGAAGTGTTTGTTTTTTGTTTTAAGAATAATTAACAAAAGAGTTTGCATAATTAAGACTTTTATATTTAATTTAATTTTTTTTTTAATTTCCTAAAATTAAAAAAAAAAAAGATTCAATTGTTAAAAACGATTTTTCTCTATAGCTCTGTTTCTTTGTGATTTGTTTAAAATGTAAAACATTTTTACAATAACATAAAAAATTTATGAATTAAATTCCTGGCAAACGCGTTCTAAACTATATATCAAAAATATGCTCAAAGCAGATAAAACTTTTTTATATTTTTATATAACGCAAGTTGAAACGCCAAGCAAGATAAATTTAAAAAATATTTAAAAACCTAAATTATTCTTTGCTAGTCAAAACAAAATCGCTGTTTAAATAATCAACATGGGTTTTTGTTTATCAATGTTAATATTTTTTGTTTACTCCAGAAATTTTTAAAAATAAAAAAAATCATTATTTTTTATTCAATAACAATTTATAAACAATAATTATTTAAAAACAAATTTCAGAAATAATTAAAATATATATATATATATATTTTTTTTTTTACTAAATAATATTGAACTAAAACTATTAAAAAAATAAAAATTGAAAACATTACAAATTTTTCATAATAAATTTACATTTAAAACGTTTATAGTTATTTGAGTTAATTGTTAAATTGAACTAGTTAGCGGTTATTTATTCATTGCGGTAGTTAGAACACTTAACGTATATAAAAAAAAATAAAGATAATTTTATGATGTCAAAATCGCGTTAAGCTAATGCATTAAGCACTTTTTTATTTAAAACAAGGCCTGACTAATATCTAAATCAAATAAACAGAAACGCTTTTTTTTTTACGACCATCCTCCTGGCAAAATATGCATTTAGTAAAGTTAAAAATGAGTTTTTTTTTTTTTTCGTTCTTTGTTCTCCATTTTTTAATAATATTTAATATGTGAAACAGCAATAACACAGTATAGAAATGTTTTTAAAAGCCAAAAACAAAAACAAGTCATTTGAATTGTTGCATTCTTATAGGTAGAATTATGTAAATATTAAATACAAATTCTCTTAAAATTTAAGTATAATTTAATATTAAAATCTTTTTTATTAAATACAAATTCTCTGCTTGAAGATTTCAATATTTGCTCGAGTTGATGAATTCAAATTTTTGTTGCAGTGGTCTGGTATCAATATAGCAGATAATGCATCATAGCAGATGCAATATCTGCTATCAGATATTGCATCTGCTGTGATTTCGTTGACACTCATAGTATTTAACCAAAAAATTTGTTATTTAATCTTTATTTAAGGAAAAGTTGTCAGACTTCACCAGAATAATTATGGCAAAGAAACTTGTTTTTTCCTTAAGACCAAAAATATTTTTAATTAGGAAACCAAAATTTTTAACATTAATTTCTTTAATTTTTATTTACTTTTTAATTAGGCAATGGTCTTGGCTTCTTTGATCAAGAATGGCTCTAGATAAATCCACAAAAATGTACGTTCTTCCAAGATTATTAAATTGCAGAACATTTTGTTAAACAATTAGAAGTAATGATTGTACGAAGAAGAGAATCAAGCTTATTAGCGATTTCCGCGAGTGTGCACATAATGAAGAGCAACCTCAAATTATTTTACAAGTTGTTGAACAACACACAGAAAACAAAATCCATCTTATTTGAAAGCAAAAACAATCAATACTTTTTACTTTTTTTTTATTAATAAATATTCTTAAGAAAAACTAAAACCTGCATTACAATCCTGATAACTCAGACCATGGATAAGTCAAAATTTTAAATTTAATTTTAATTTTATTTATAAGTTGGACAAATTTTTAATTTCCCTTAAACTTTCTCTATCAACATACTATAAAATCATTCATTGGCTAACTTATACTGTTTTTTGGGGTCCTTTTGGAAATCTTTGATTAATTTTGAATTGCATATAAGTGCATATAATAACAAAACTTCCAATACTTCAATAAAAATTCTAAACACTCAAAAATAAAATACCTTTGCATCATATACAGTAGGCAAAAAAAAATGGCACAAGCAATTTTTTAAAAGATTTTTTTTTTAACTTATCTGTTTACTCATGTTTTTTAAAAACTGTAAAAAGTTTAAATGTTCATCAAAGAGTACTACTATTATGATTTTTATATGTGCATAATTTTACCAAAGGATTATTATTTTTTCAAGTGGTTATTCAAGTGGTTATTTTAAGTACACAAAAGTAAAAAAAATTATTGTTTGTCAAAAACAAAAAAAATCTACTGTAAGTTCCTCAAATATTTCTGATTTTGTTCAATATTGAATTAATCATAACTTTTAAATTTATCTTTAGGATAGTGCTATTTTCATATAATCTGGTCAAAACCTGAAGCAAATCAAAGGTGGTACTCGGGGGCATTTTCAAAAAACTAGGTGATTTCATATGGAATATCCAGGTCGAAATGGAATTGTAATCAGCTTTGCTACTAATAAAATCATTTTTTATTGGAATAGTTGTTTGTGTTGTGCCCAGTCAAAGCAAAGAGTCCATTTATCATGCAGTGAGTTTGCCCTTCAGGTGTGAGTTTTTAGTCGTGAGTTTTTAGTCTGGTGTTGTAATCATAATTGTGTATATTAAAAGCGTTTTTGATGCTACAAAATTTTTTTTTTTTTTTTTTTTTTTTTTGCACTCTTTAAGTTTATCAATATCATGATAAGATAAGCTCAATTTTGAATATTTTATTCAAGATGTGGTCACATGTTAAAATGCCTACTCAAGATGTGGTAATGTGTGTTATTATGTGAAAGAGTTTGACTATGCATGATATTTATAAACTGTTTTATTGAAATTAATGTTTTGCTAATGCTTCAAAAACTCTCATATTTTTCTAAATATAATAGAGTGTTATTGAATATGGTCAGTAGTTGATTGTTTCAAGTTTCCTGATTAAATAAAGATGATTTAACATTTTATTTTATTATTAAGTGATTTATTGAAATCACAATTATAAAAATATTTTAATTAATAATTGTTTTTATATCATCATCATCACCACCTAATTGAAATTATTTTTTTTAATGAAAACTTTTGATAAAAGTTTTATCAATTGACAAAAGTTTTATCATTTAACTAATTGCTATCAATGCTAATATCATTTAATTAATTGCTAATATAACATTTAATATTAATTATTTGCTAATATAACATTTAATATTAATTAATTGCTATTATAACATTTAATATTAATTAATTGCTAATATAACATTTAATATTAATTAATTGCTATTATAATATTTAATATTAATTAATTGCTAATATAACATTTAATATTAATTAATTGCTAATATAACATTTAATATTGATTAATTGCTAATATAACATTTAATATTAATTTATTGCTAATGTAACATTTAATATTAATTATTATATCAAATTTTGGAAAAGATGGATTCTCATCAGCATTGAATACAGACCGGAAGTAGTCATTTATATTCAATCAAAACTATTAATTTTAATCTAAAGTTAAAAAATAATTTTATAATAAAAAAAAAATAAATTGAGAAAAAAAATTTACCCAACAAATCCTTTAGTTATTGAACCTAAAGAGTCTTCTACTTGAATAACAATACCCATTCTCCAATTTTCATGTATATCTCCTGAGGGAAAAGCCATAGCAAAATTATAGTTTATCCCACGATACATTGTTGTAGCAACTGTTCCAATTTCAGCAATTACTTCATATAAAAATGGTTGGTTTGCATTGTCTTTGTCTTGCCAGTTAAGGCAATGTACAATAAACTTAGTAACAAAAGCAATTCCACTACCAGGTGTGATAGTACAAGATCCATCTTGAGGACCAGAATTACTTTCTATAAAGAACGATGAAAAACCAACTGCATCCATACCTAATTAATAATAAAAATTATACTATCATTTTTTAAATGTCATATAAATGTTAAGAATGAAATTTAGAAAATTATTTAACACATAAAAATATAGTGTGTATGATGTTTACCTTCTAAAGAAATATTGATTATAATTTTGTATGATTGAAGACCATCTAAAACTCCAGAATTTAAAATAAAAACAGGTGCATTTAAAGGTGTAAGTACAGAGTGACTATCAAGATTGATTGACTTATTATCATTAACACCCACAACTTCCCATTTGTATATTGGTACAATAGTTCCACAGTTTGTGCAAGTTGCAAATAACTTTAGTTTTTTATACTTGAAATAACTATGTGATTTATAAGTATTACAGGTAATACACTCTACACTTGCAAGTGGAACAGTACCATTAATGACATATATCTGAAATGATTTTAAAAAAGTAATATTTACTTGCTATTTCCACATTAACTAATAATAATAATAACAACAATAATAATAAATGCTAACTTAAATCCCGATATTCTTTCAAAACAAAAAAGATTATAAAAGTTATAATGACTGAAGCATTTGAAACAATGAGACAACAATAGTTTTTCATTAGAAACAACGAGACAACATTAGTTTTTTAAATAACAAGCTGATGTATAAATGCATCGGTTAAAATCAGTATATATAGTCATATTTTTGCTGTTTATTATTTTTTATATATATTGTTTGTATATGTATATTGTTTGTATATGGCTTAATGACATCAGAGGCATACAAAGGCCAACAAGATGTTATAGAAATTTTAAGCAATGAAGAAAAAACAATCATATCTTTACGCTGTAACATTTAATTATCAAACTTAAAAATATGATGAGGATTTTGCAATATTTCAAAGTAAAAAGATTAATATAGATCTACAAAACTTGAATATATCTCTTCTAAAAACTCATTCAAAACCAAAGGGAAGGGGTAGGGATGGGATATGCATACCCCCTAGCCAGAATTTGAAACTCCTAAAAAATTTTAGAAATAAAAGACCTTTTTTCTTTTTTTTTTTACAGAGACGCAAATGTGCTACAAAACACAAAAATATTTCAACATTCCCCCCCAAAAAAATAATAATAATAATAATAATTTCTGGATCAGTAACTGAAAGCATATACTTACAGAAGGAGAAAATGTGTTATGTAACAATTAGCATAAAAAAAATTGGTGTAAACTTTGATGAAATTAGAAGCTTGATAAAATAGAAAAATCTTTATTCTAAAAATAGAACTATTGTTTAACTTCTCACACTGGCACCACCAGTAGTAAATAATAACTCTGAAGTTACAGAATGCCAGGCAAAAATTCTAGCAACTTGCTTGCAGCCTTGTTTGGAGTGAATCAGAATTTTTTTTTTTAAAAACAATTTACACCAACGAATCGTTAATATCTTAAAGATTATTTATCAAAAAATCTAAGATCAGCTTGGCGTCATAGTTATCTGGTAATTTATATATATATATATATATATGTATATATATATATATATATATATATATATATATATATATATATATATATATATATATATATATATATATATATATATATATATATATTACATTAGTTTATTGAAATGACTTCAAAACAAGAAAATATTTTATTTATTAAAGCCAACTGATAAAAATAGTTTTTTATTATACATTTTTGGTAGTTTTTTTCTGATTGAATTATTAAATCATTTACTAAATAATATTCACTATTTAATAAAATTGTTAATCTATAGTGGTTTGAATCGTATTTAAATATTGTGCAGCATATAAAACACCTCTACAAATAAATAAATGGATGGTATAAAAACTTTATAGTTGAGTCATTAAGGCAGATTTTACATAATTCATTTAACTTATTATTTAAATATGTTACTTTTTTTGCCTTTTTAATCAAGATATACTCATTGATGATTAGACAAATAGTTTGAACAGTTAAATCTATTCAAAAACGGCTAATCAAATTGCATTCTGTATCAAGAGTACTGAGAGTTAATGAACCATTTGGTTTTAACGAATTGTTTTAACAAAAATCTTTTTGCTGCGACAGCACATTTTATTGAATAAAATTTGGATGAAATAATATTGACATCTTATTAAAATTTGAATAGTAAATCTCTTTAAAAGCATAACAAACTATATATCAACAGAAAGTATGTAACATAATATAACCTAATACAATTTAATGTAACGGTGTATGTAACATAGTTGATATATGTTACATACATCAACTATTTTATAGCATGCTGTAGCAAGTGAGTGTATATGCCCCGATATTCATAGAAATCCATATACTTTAAGATCAAAATCTTTATATTTTTTAAAAGATCAATGAATATAAAATGTATAATAATTTTTTTTTGATATCATCAAAGCTACATGGGTTTCTTGAGCATTAAAAATAGGTATATAAAAATTGCCTAAACTTATTTAAATTGATAATTACAGGTACTTCATAATAATTTTTTACATTTCTGATCATTCCATTGGATTTGTCAGCCCCAAAAAAAGCCAGTTACAAGTTTTAAGCAAAAAAATCAAATATTTATAAAGTTATGTGACTTGAAACCTCTTAATAAGTGTTGCAATTCTAAGGGGACAAGAGGGGCCTAGCCAGTATCTACTAAAAGTAAAATGGTCATTTTCATGATATTCTTGGGGCCAAAGGCTAAAAATTTCAAAGAATTCTTATTTTACTAAGCACTCTCAAATGTATAAAAATCAGCAAAATCTGAGATGTATGGTGACATGACCTGGTCATTTGACATGGAATCACCCATTATAATAGATTATAATTAAACTTTGATATGTCTGAATATATCTTTAAAATCAAATATGTTCTCTTTTAAAATAAAATTTTTAAAAGTAAAAAAAAATTCTTAAACCCTTTCACAAACCCATGTTTTTTTGAAAATACGGTCACTATTAGCTTATTTTTTGAAGTGGTCTCTAAATGTCCTGTGTTTTTAAAATTATCTTGTTTATTTACTAATAGAATAAAAAATGTTTTTTACTATTTTTAACATAATTAAACACTACAAGATTTTATTATTCAAGTTTAACGGGACCACCAAGTCCTGAGACATGTTGTGTTCATATTAAAGAGAATGTTAAAAAAAAAACGTCTGAGCAAATTTATTTTGATTAAAACTAATTAATAAATGTATACCAAGAAAAACAAATCTTGTTGTTTTAGTCGAAGCTTGTCTTCTCCATTTTCTGCGGTATTTGGAGTCTTTAAAATAAATGTGACTTTTTAGGCGCATTATACAGACTTATTTTCTAAAATCTTCACATTGAAAAATATTTAATGTTTTTTTGAAGCTATCAGAGCCGTGGCTACATGGGCCACAGCAATGGTGAATCAAATGACCCCTATGTCGCTAAATTTTTTTAAATGTCCTTTTTTTTGTAAAACAAGTAGTCTTTAGTAGTAGATTTGGTATTTTTGGATTTTTTTGGTTGCTCTGCCCATCCAATAAAATAACACGCTGTGGCCCATCATCTAAGCCCTAAATGGATGGGGGGGGAGGGCAGTAAATATAGGTGTTTTTTTTTTAAAGTTTAATTTTAAGATTAATTTTACCAATTTTAAAATCTTGTTTTTTTCGTTATACCTAACATTCAAAGTTTTTTTAAATGTTGAGACCCTAATGACATGTTATATAGGATCTCCAACCCCCTACCCATGGCACTGGTAGCTTTAATTTGGATTTAATCAATATTTAATGTTATATACTGATAAAAAATTGTTTTGTATTGTTTTTTAAATTTTTAATAGAAATTTTTATTTCTAAACTTTTCTTATGGTATTATCCATGGCCATCAACACTGGGCTAGAGGCCCCCAGTGTTGATGCCCCCCCCCCCAACTTTTTTTTTGAGATAACTTTTTTTTTCTTAAAGTGTAAGATTTTTTTTCTAAATCGGGGAGTGAGCCTCTTTGAAATTTCCCCACTTTGAAGGCCGTGTTGATGGTCATGTTATCACTTTAACTGAAATTTAACTTATTTAGCCGCGGTTCAGAATATATTTAATTAAATTTGTTTTTTAAAAATATTCATTCCAATTTTTAAAATCAAAAATTAATATTTTTAACTTTTAAAAACTGGATTGAATATTTTTGAAGATTGCAAGAAAATGTTATTATTGAGTTGATGATTCCACAAATAGAATAAATACAATTCAAACTTTTATTTGTTATTCACAATGTTGTTTTTTAATTTGAATGCAAATTCTAGATAAATTGAAAAATACTCAATATAATGCATTTTTTAAACGTCCACTATGACCGCATTCACTATGTGCACAATCTGTCTTGAATTTTTACCAAGTTATACATTGATTAAAAAACAGCTGTGTGTAATTTACTTTAAATGTGAATTGTATAAACAGTTACAAAAATACTTCGCGTTTTTAAATCCATGGTTATAAAATAATAAAATTTCTAAACAAAAATTACAATGCCACATTGCGCTGTTATCAGTTGCTCTAGCAATAACAAATCAGCTTCTCATATATCGCTTCATAGATTACCTTTAGATCCAATAATTGCAGCTTTATGGAAGAAGGAGGGGGCATGGCCTCCCACTATTTAAAACTCTATCTTTTGGTCCCTTTACTTTAAAGATTTTTTTAATTTTATTTTTACCTTAACTTCATACGATAACAGTAATAATCAAAACTAGAAATGAAACTCATAAATTAAAAAAAACTGTGTATGTTAATACTTATGTCATATCAGGATGTTTTCCAAAAAATTTTGCCGATGGGAACAAAAATGGCTATAAAATGACTTTGCCCTCCCAAATGTGGGCAATCAGTTTTAAATATCCTAGAATATCCTAATGTTTCTAAAATATATATTATATATTCTATTGCACATAAAGTTTTTTTAGAAATTGTGGCTGTTTTATTACTTGGATTTTGGCATTTTCAAATCCACCAGTATATTTCCAGGCATCTACTACTTCAGATATACCTAAGGCACCTTTGTCACCACTTTCAAAATTTGTGTAAATTCTATTAACATCTGGAAACCTGGATCTTATTACTGAAACAACACATGCTGGTAGAACCTTTCAATTATACCTTCCAAGTTTACAGTATGTTAACCATGTAAACAAATGATAAGCGGCATATCTGAATATGCTTTAAAAGAAACGGAGAAATACAAATATTTTTCAATAAACAAAGTTATACAAATAAAATCAAGTTTAACGCAAGACAACCAAATTGTAAATATAAAAATACTTGTTCGGGGTTTCTTTGAATGAATCTAGCATCCACGCTCCTTCTCTGTCATTCAGACTGGCCATTCCCAGCGGCCACCGGACCTAAAAAAAAGACAACTTTTGAACGTTCAAAAGACGTTCAAAAGATGTCCAAAATGTGTATAAAACGTTTAAAAGTAGTGATTTCGCCGGTTATCCAGTTTTACGGTTAACCGGATTTTGTTCGAATATCAAATACCTATTTTCGAATAATAAAAACCGACTTAAAAGTTTTACTAAATTTTATAGAAAGTAACAACGTAATAATGACGATTATTGTTTGAAAAGTGTTAATTTATCAAAGATTATAATATATTTCTTTTATTAATTTAAATGTTAATTTAATCAGTTTTGTTTGATAATATATTCTTAAAACAATTTACAATAGAAATCTCAAAGATTTATTTATTACTTTTACAACTTAAGCAATACATTTTTAAAAAGTTTCTTCAGAATATTCTGGAACTCTAATTCGCTTATTCAGCGTATTTTTTGAACCAATAGAATTTGTTTATTCGTAGATTTGGCGGTATTTTAGTGTTAGCAAATATTCTTTATATTATCTTTACAAAACAAGTTTTTTTAAAAACATTCAAGTTTATCCATGTTTCCATCTAAGTCCGCATAACAATACACGCTAAAAAAATTTACTTCATAACATCTCATTTTTCCAAATCAAATGTTTTTATATAAAAGAATGATTTTAAAATATCCGCTGATAATAAAACATTTAAACTATACTTGTACATTATTCCTACTTTTTTTAATTAAATAATTAAAAAGGTATATTATATTATAAAATAAAAAATATATATATATATATATTTTCATGTTTTGTTATAAATATATAACATATATAACATTGTATTCACTAACTGTCTTGAAAACGTACACTTTAACATTAATTTTTAAAAAATTAGTTTAAAACGCTACGTTCGTTGAAATTTAGAAGATCCTGTATTCAGAAAACGCCACTAATTAACCGAATAGTTAGTTAACTGCAAATTGATGAGAACTGTTATCCGGTTTTTGAAACGGATAACCGGCGAAATCACTATTTAAAAGACGTCTTTTTTACGTCCGTGTCTACTGGGTTGATATCCATAATGGATATGGCTCAATGCAGCCTGTCACAAAACCTCTGTGTTCTGTTAGGCACTTTTGGTCTAAAATAAAATAAATTTTTAACTTTACATAGCTATTATGTGACAGTTTGTTATAAGTTTTTATTTTAATTCTGCCAACAATAATATATTAATTTATATTTTAAAATAATATCATAGTTATTTTATAATACCTGTGGCAATGTTTATTGCCTTTATTTCAAAACAACAAATACATTCTTTTTCAAGTGGCACTGTTTTACAGTATCCACATTTGCACCATTGTTCAACAACTACACTCAAACGATTTAATATCCACATTTACACAATTGTTCAAACAATTTAATTTCGGTGCCACAAAGTTCAAATTTACATAGCTGATACTATCGTCAACTATTTTGTTTTTTGGATCTTTACTGGTTTTCTACATCTGTTTTTTAAAAGGTTCAAATGAGTATAGATTGGCCGACATTTCAACCGTATAGTTATCAAAATGCAAATGAAAAATATAACATGGTTACTCTTTTATCTATATCCCAATGATTAAAATTTAATTAAAATAATTAAAAATATTTTATAGTACAAAAAATTTAACAATTCATCAAATACCCTTAATACAGCTGTTTATCCAAATTAATTATAGATTAAAACATCATTTTGATAGAAAATACGAAGTAATAAAAGAAAAGTTGAGTTGTTTAGATAAAATTAAAAAAAAGATCCCACTGTTTAAAAAAACAACGAAATTCAGAAGCTATTATAAGGTGACCAAGGTCATCTTTTTACTTTTTTCCAAATTTTACTGTTTAATAAATATTACGCACATAAATTTAAAACTAAGTTAATGAACGGACAAGAAGAAGATTTTTTGTCTTATCGCCGATCACCATCTTGCAGAATATAGTATATACTCACTGACATAGGAACAAACGGCAATAGCCCCCCCCCCAATTTCTGAAGAGTCCTGTTTTTTCCATAGAAATTATGATTCTGGCTGCATTTTATTTTTGTTTTAGCACCTCCCCCAATATTTTGAACTTTTCATATCCATTATATACCATATATATATATATTGGATGTTATAAAAATGGAAATATAAATGAAATAAGTTCACCTCAATACCAAAAAATACATTTTTAAAAATCAGAGAAAATACGCATTAATAATTTTTTTAATATTTACAAAGTAAATTAATAAAAGTGCATTATTATTTTAGGTTAAAAATGATTTTATCTAAAATTTTGAAAGAAAAACTTATAACAAAAGAAATCAGAATATATGTGGTCTAGACGATTATTTAAAAAAAGTTGCGCAAATGAAATACTACTTTGTTTTTAATTTTTTTACAAACACATTTTAGAACTTTAAAATATAATAAAAATGAATATGATTTGGAAATTGCATGTAAAAAATAATAATCGCTGTTTTAAACAAACAAACAAAAAAATCTATGACATCATGTACTAAAATTCCTATGAATTAAACACACTTGAATAAATTATCAAGTCTGTATAATGCTCCTGGAAAATCGGGTTAATTTTAAAAACTCTAAATACCGCAGAAAATGGAGAAGACAAGCTTCGACTAAAACAAGATTTGTTTTTCTTGGTATACATTTATTAATGAGTTTTAACCCAAAAAAATTTGCTTAGACATTTTTTTACATTCTCTTTAATATGAACACAACTTGTCTCGGGACTTAGTGGTCCCTTTAAGAATATATAAATAATACTACATAAACACAAAATTTTTAAAATTTATTTAGTAATACTCACTTTTTGTATAATAATTGTAAAAAGAATGGAGCTGAATTTTGTGTTTGTAACATACCGCACACCATCCTTGAGCATTAATCTTTTATTATTATTATTTTCAATAATCATTCATTAAATATATCTTTTCATTATTGATTCATCAAATGTATAATATTCTTTTTTTTCGTGAGTAAATATTTACTTTTTGATTATTTTTGCACTGAAAGAACTTCCTTATTTGTCATATTTCAAATTAAAACGAACATTAATGTTCGCTTTAATATAATGTAAATTAAAGTTTAAAAGTTATTGAAACAAAAGCTCTGTAATTATGTAGTAATAAATTTTGTGACAAGTAGACGTATAATTACTGATAAACAAGAAGGAAATATAAGGAGATAAATAAAACCGTAATATTACGGCACGGACATTTGTGAACCACTTTAAGTTTGCATAATAATATGGGATGGAATGTTAATGGGTTATAAACGTTTTTGATCCAGCACACTTTTGTAGCCTACCTTCTCAAACACTGTCCAACAGATAAATTTTTTATTTTAATCACTTACTATAATTTTTTTTTTTTTAAGTTTAATTACGCATTACTAACAAAAAAAAACTATTATTAAGTCCTTGCTACTTAATTATAATCAATTATAAACTATTTTAATTGATTATAATTAAGTGGCGAGGACTTATATATTGAACTTTATTAATGTCAAACTTATATTAACCAAGTGGCAAATCGTTGCCACACGGTTAATAAAGTTCAATATATAAGTTGACAAAAATCATCATTTTTAAAATAAAGAAGAAAAACATTATATAGAGGAAAAAAATAAACAGATTTATACAACAATTATCTATATAAATTACCTGCTGTGATGCAAATACAGGTTGCTCATTATTATTGTATTCTCGTTTCACAGCAACTGTAAATGTATAATACTGGAAAGGAGTCAAACAATATGGTTTAATATGAATAACAGAATTAAACTTGTTCCAATCAGTGATATTATAAGTCTTTGATTCATCCTCACAAATAATATTTGACCATTTATACAACAAGGCAGGTTTGTTTGGGTAAGAAATATCTGGATCTATGGTGTTGCTTACAGAAAGTGCAAAGCTTTGAAGATTTCCAATAACCTGGAAGGAACCTCCTGAGATTTTAGGTAAAAGAGTTGAGGCTACAACTTCTAAAAAAAAAGCAACTTCTAAAATTCCGTTATTTCCAAACTTTATTTTGCTGATTACACAATAGTATCCAATTAAAAAACCCCTTGGTGGTACTTGAAGAGTTGCGCTATTTGTATTAATTACAGAGCCTGATATTCCAGAAGGTGTAAATTTAACCCTTTGAACTCTTTGTGAACAATCAGTGTTAAAATTTGCCACTTCAAATTCCCATTGAAAAGTGATATTACAATCAGCAGTTGCATTTACTTCACTGTAAAACCACAGAGATCGAAGCTGTAGGCGAGCTTTTGAAAATTCTTGAACATTAGGTGATTTGCAATCTTCAAAAAAAATTGTGATAACAAAAGTTTTTTTAATAATACCATGTCTTATATATGGTCCAGAAACAATAACTTCAACAGTGTAATTTCCTGGAGCAAAATCTTCCAATGATTCTATTACAACTTTTGAAGAATTTCCAATATACCAGCTAAAGTTTGAACAATTTTTAATATGCCATTCATAAGTTGAATTTGGTGCTTTAGTAAAAACTTCAAAAGTCACATTTGAATGAGAAGATAAGTATCTTTGAGATGGAAAAGGTTCAACTTCATCTATATAATCTATTGATGTAAATTGAAAAGCACTTCCTGAAGAATTTATACAATTTAATTTATTGCATACTTCCAATGTCATATTTATTATTTGATTTTCTTTCAATGATAGCAAAGATCCTTTTATTGAATTTTCAGAGTAGTTTAAAACATTTAATTCTGCTTCTCCTTCGATTGTTAAATTATTTTTAATAAAACTTTGAGAACCTTGCCAAAATATATAAAATATATAAGTTTTATTAAAAACAATAATTTTATCAAGATCAATAGTTATATTTTTTATTGGTTTAAGAACAGATATTGGATATGTATATTTAACTGCTTTATAAAGAGTATAACCAGAATAAATTTTGGTTTCTAAAACTATGTCATACAATTTATCAACTGAGTTAACATTAAAGTTTATTCTAGCACGATCATTAATTTTATTTATCTGCACTTCATCTTGTGGGATAACTTTCCATAAATAATAAGCAATTCTATTAACATTTTTAATAACTAAATCAATTGAAGAATTGTAAGCAACAAAAAGAGTTTGATTTTGAAAAAGTGGCAGTTTTAAATATGTTATTAAAGGTGGATCTTCACATAGTTTAATAACTTCAATTACCTTCACAGAATACTGAGTTTGAAGTGGAGATGATACGTTTAGCTCAATAGTGTAAAATCCAGATTCAGTAAATTTTAGATTCTGAGTCGATAAGTTTCCAATTTGTGTAAAATTAATTGTCCAAGAATATGAAAGTAAAGGACAAATAATTGAGCTATTGGCAAAATACAGTAACTCAGTCGCCATAATATTTGGAGTAATTATTTCAAGAAAAGAAATATTAGGATAAACAACTACATTAAACACTGCACTGTCATTAGTAACTTGGTTACGCACAACTACTTTTATTTCATGACTTCCAAGGCTAAGAAATAAAATAGTTGCTTTTTTTGTGTAATTAAAAATACTTCCATCATAGTACCATTCATAAGATTGAGCCACGACATTGACAAAAACTTCTAAGTTTAAGATACTTTCAATTATTAAAGAAGATTGATTGCCAGTAATATTCAAAACTTGTATTTTTCTAAGTACATTAAGACTTTCCTGCTTATTAAATGTATTAACATTGTCAGAAATACTAATGTTGATTAAAAAAAAACCTTCAAAAAAACATTTTCCTACATAGTTATATGTTTGTAGGTTTGTTATATTAAAGGTGTCATCAGCTTCAGATATTTTAATGTTTATAAAGTATAAAAACATTGAAATGTATTTAAATTTCAATTTTATATTAAAGTTATCATTAACTACAACAAACTGAGGAAGTTGAACAGAAGTATTTTCAGCTGAATATTGTACAATAACAGTTGAACTTATTGAGATGTTTGAAACATCATTTTTTACTTCTAATGTAATATTATTTCTCCCCTCAAACCTAAAAGTCATTTCATTAATTGGAGCACGCCCTTTATTTTCCATGCCCCAATCACCTTTTTCTCCATTTAGCCACCATCTAAACTGAAACACTTTTGATCCCTGCCAGTCGATAGGGCTAACTAAAATCTTGTTGTCTACATTTGCATTTATAACTTTAGGCATGTTAAAACTTATTCTATTTAAAACATTTATAAATGATGTGGTGTTTGATATTGAGAAATTATTGTTTCCATACATTACAGTAAAAATAATGGTGTAGTAGCCTTCATCATTAAAAGTGAAATTTAAACCTGCTCCAACCTTAGCATCAAACATTGACCAAGATGTTTCAATTAAAACATTTGAGGCAATTTGAATAACCCACTTATAGTAAACATTTAAATAACATGAAGATAAACTTTTAATTTGAATATAAAACTTGCCTGTACTTATGGAACGAAAATCTGGAAATTGAACAGTGACAATACTACTTAATATTGTTAGAGTCTTAGTTAGGCTGAATGATGATACAATATTTGTTGCATTAAACTCATAGCTTATTGTTGATATATGGTCAAACAACATTGAAAAATTCATTATAACTTTATTTATTTCAAAGTCTGGTAATTTTCTGTAGGTATAAATAACATCTGATCCAGAATCCACATTAAATATAAAAGTAATATTATCATTTACACATGCCAAATCTTTATCTGTTTTAACTGTAAAGTTTGTAATAACATCTAGTACATTTATTTCATAACTAAAACTTGGTAACTCGGATATTGTTAATACAAGCAGCTTACTTTTTATGCCAACTTTTTCTAGAATTATTGATTTTAGACTGTCAACATTGCGAACCATATAATATTTGTTATTTAAAATCCAAGTTAAACTCTTTGGCATGGCTAAACACTTATCTAAAACAACCAAAGTAAATGTAATCGGGATACCACTTACTACATATTTTGCACCAAGAATACCATTTATAGAAATATTATAAATAACTTGAACAATTGAAACAGTCTTAGGCCAAATGAAAGTATTAAATGCAGTAGTAACTGTAATTTCAAGCTCATAAAAACCTTCTTTAGAAAAGCTGTAGTTAAAAGGAACTATAGAAGTATTTATTGCAATTATTGACTGCTTGTTAATGGTAAATGATGCGTCAACAATTTGATTATTTGCATATATATAAAACTCTATTGTGGAATTAACATCATAAACCCATAGTTCACAAGATGAATATGGTCTTAGTTCTACATTAAAACCATAAAATGAATCCCTCATAACCATATTTAAATTTGGTGAATAAATATGATTAACAACAGTTATTGAAATATCAATTTTCAATTTAGCATCACTCTGCATTAAATGAATTTCAATTTTATAGTCTCCTATGTAATTCATCATCCATTTACTTTTGCGATTACAAGGATTATTTAGAGATAAAAAGGTATTTAAGTTACATAAATCAGACCAACATTGTTTTTTATTATCGCTGTTAGAAATTGTCCACATACCATAACAGTTTTTATCATCAAAGTCTTTCTCAGATTTTAAATGAATAATTAGAGTTGAGTTTAAGGGGATCAAAAAAGATTTCTTAGAATTATAACTTAAATCATTTTGAATAATGTTTACCTCACCTTTTTCAGAAATAGAACATTCAAGTTTTTTATTTACTAAGGTTTTTTGGTCAGTGTATGTTAGAGATAACACAGAATTGCCTTTAATTGATTTTGGTATAGCTGCAATACCAGGAACAGAACATTCACTAAAGAAAAAATATTTACACATTTTTTATATCTCAAAATTTAATATACTTATGTGAAAATGGAAAGTTTTGAAAAGTAAAAAACATATATATGAGAAATACAGAATATATGTGTATGGGAGGGGGAATCAATTTTGTAAGTAATTTTTATAATTAGTTGATAATAATTTAATTAAAAATAAATCTCAAAATATTTTAATTTCATTTTTAATTAAAACAATTTTCAACTAATGTAAAATAAAATATCTTTAATTACAATAAAATTAATAATACAAACAAAAACAATAATTCAGTTAAGTAAAAGAAAATTTATTACAATTTTGTGTTTTTAGTAAAGAAATTGTTTAGGTACAAAAAATTAGAAATTATTAATGAAATAAATCCTAATATATCAAAACAAATGACTGAAATAAATACTTTTAAGTTAAAATATTAATTAAAATTTGTGCAAAAATATTTTCTCAAGAAAATACTTTATTTAAAATGAATATAAATTTTTTCACACAATTAAAAAAAAAAGGGAGCAATTAAAGAAGCAACATTGTATATATCTAATATAAGCCCATAAGTAAGCACAGAAAAAAAAAAATTGAGAGAAAGACAACTAATCCTGACCCTTCTTTATAACTTCAATCTGGTACTGGTAATAGTTACTTAAATACGGGTACCCTGAAAGTGACCTAAAACCTTATATCATATCCCATGACATTTTTCTTTTGATTTTGAAAGTATTTCATGTACACATTCCAAAACTATCAAAATTTAAATCATTTTTTGGTAGCTTTTTGAGAAAACTAATTTATAAGACTTGTTTTAACTAGAGGTTAATGCCCCTCTGACTTACCCTAATACCCCTGCGAGTGGATAAAATAGTTGAATATAATATGTTTAATTGTTTGATCTATTGGATTGAATCTTTGAGGATCGTATATAGAAATAACTTCTGATAACAATTTAGGGTTTCTATTTAGAACATTGACTTATCACTTTTAAAAGTTAGTCATCGTCTTTTTCATCAGTAGTAATACCGCCAAAATTAAAGTTTTATGATCACTTGAAATCTTTACATCTATACTTATCAGAATATTTCACTTTTTTTTTCACTTGAATGTGCTTCTAGCTCTGGCTTTAATGTAATTGATTAGGTAACCTTTAGATAGCCTTGCCCTCCATCTACCCCAATATCAACATCAACATTTTCTGATTTAAAAGATTTATGTTGTAAAACTGTTGCAACAAACTCATTAACATTATTGCTTATTACACCAGGAGCAGTTCTTTTAATACACTAAATAATAACAAAACAACTCCGAGGATAATGATTTATTTTAAATTATCAACTGTCAAATTAATCAAAATATAAAATTATAACTCAATATTGTTTACAGCATGTAAAGTATGTACACAATGTTGCGCCAATATTGTTTGCTACTTGGGAATGATATTCTTGGCATAAAATGATATTTTTATTATAATATATTACTTTTATAGAGCTTTTTAGTGAAGCTAGTTAAAGTAAAACACTCAGTTGGCATTTGGTTCTAAAAAGATGTTTTATGAACATTCAACAGACTTTTTAGGACCAAATGCCGGCTGGGTATATGCATACATACATACTTACATACATACATACATACATACATACATACATACATACATACATACATACATACATACATACATACATACATACATACATACATACATACATACATGCATACACCCATACATACATACATACATACATACACACATACATACACACATGCATACATATACATATACATATATATATATATATATATATATATATATATATATATATATATATATATATATATATATATATATATATATATAGTAATACCACCTTTTTATTATCTCCGGTATCCTGTTTAGACTGAATCTCAACAAAAGCTCAGCAACAAACATCAAAACAAGATAAAAGATTTTTGTTTTCTTCTGTTAACTTTTTAGACATGACTATAGATTTTTTTCCTCCTTTCACTCATATAATCAGGCAATTTCTAACATCTTATAGTCGCTAGTAAAGTTAATACAAATGTTAAAAAAATGTTTTTTTTAAATAATTTATATCTTTTGAATTTTCTAGTAGACAATTTATACCCTGTATGAAGTTTGCTCTGTAGTTAATTCAGTTTTGAGTTTGAAAAGTAAGTTGTTTTTGGTTCAACTACTCCAATAGAAACAACAAGCTTCTTAGAGAAGTTTGAAAAATTGTTTTACATTATTTTTGCATCATGGGTTACTAAATTGTTGATTACAGTTGATAAAACTTTTCCTTTTGTTACAGGTGAGGTGGATTGTACAATATGCATCAAACTCCTTTGCTTAGCAAACTTAGTGCAAGGATGTTTAATACCTTTTCTTATTTGTTGAAAACAAATTCTGTAAAGAACAAGACTTTCATTGGTTGTGGAAAGATTCAAATTAGATTCAATTAGAAGATTATGATCTATATCTGTAGATCATAATCACTAATTTGGCTCTTAAATTTAAGTTAATATAAGTTTTTTACTTAAATAATTAAATAATGTTGCTGTTATTGCTTAAATGTGTTTATAAATATTGTTACAGTCTTTAAAAAGTTTTAAAAGACTAAATTAAAACAACAACAACTATAAGCCAATCAGAAACTAATAAATATTGTTACAGCCAATTGTGCTGCTGCAATTACAGAAAGTAAACAACTATAATGGCTGATAGAAAAATATAATTTTAATACAAAAACATCGTTATTTATAAAACTTCTTATTAAGTTTTTTCAAAAAGCTACCAACAAATTGTTTAAACTTTGATATTTTCAGAATGTACAAATGTACTATATTCAAAATCAAAAAAAAAAAACTTAATGGGACTTGATAGAAGGTCTTAGGTCACCTCCAGGATAACTGTGTAAAATGGGTGCTCACATTCCCTATATGAATGAAAAACTGTGGTTTTACTTGGGCTTCAAAATAAATATCTTGAATAAAGTCCCCTTACACAAAATTTTTTTTTTTTTTTTTTTTTTTTTTTTTAACATCTTCACTTCCAACAAGGCTGCAAGCAACCACTATAAGAGTTGGAAGATACTGGAATAGAAAAGACTAAATCTGTAGAGCAAGATAACGATTGACAGATGACTTAAAAGATTGCAAGTTATATGAATCAGGAAAGCAAGATGAAGGAAGCGAATTCCAAAGAACTGATGTTCGAGGAAAAAAACTAGAAGAATAAGAGTTTTTGAAGCACTTAGGAACAGTCACAGAAAAAGGATGAGACTTAATTGAATGGCGAGTAACACGAGAATGAATTTTAGTATGGCACAAGGGACGCTAGCTCTTTAGAGCAGTGCCCATTATAGTATTTGTAGAAAAGAGAAAGAGAAGCAACATTGCGACGATGTGACAAAGGTTGGAGATTGGCTGCCAGAGCAGGTCCAACTATGTTTACAATTCGTTTTTGCACCTTGTCTAAAAGAGAAAGAGCATCATTAGAAGATCCGCCCCAGATGTGGCAACAGTATTCCATACAGGGACGGATTTGAGATTTATAGAGATAGAGAATAGAATCTGGAGTAAGAAAGTGTCGAGCTCGATAAAGAGATGCAATCTTAGCAGATGCTAATTTTGCAATGGATTTGATATACGGTTTAAAAGAAAGATCAGAAGTAAGAGTTAATCCTAGAAGATGAATGGTAGATGACTCACCTAGTACATTACCATTCATAAATATAGGAAGATCTAAATTATTACGATAACGATTGGCCGAATAAAATTGAGTTTTATCTGAATTAAAGTTCACCAGCCACTGTGAGCCCCATGCTGTAGCAGAAGTGAGATCCTTTTCAAGCTCAGATACCCCCTCCAAGCAATCAGAGAGTGTAGGCTTCTTATCATGACAAGAGTAAATGGTAGTGTCGTCAGCGAATATAATATAAAATAGTACCAATATTTTGTATTAATACTCTTCCATTCCACATTTAAATCAGGCATTATCAGAAGTGACATAACCAACCATTTCCCAGTCTTTGCAATTTTCAAAAAACCAAAAGATACACTAAAAAAGGACTAGTACTTCAAAAAAAGAATCCTTACAACCTGAGCAAAAAACATGTTTAAAGTAGAGATATCGACTGTAAATTGGAACTTTGTTTTTCTCGAGACATGTGCTAATAACAGCTACAACCTTTTCTTAGATAAATTTTTCACTTTGTACGATAAGCATTTTCCTAATAAAACAATCCGCATTAAAACTAAAGGATTTCTTAATTGATGGTTCACTAAAAACTTTTTAAAGTCTTCGAAGCGAAAACAAAAGCTATATATATGCTTTATTAAATCAAAGAAAGAACGTATTAAGCATAATTACTTGGAGTACAAACGTCTATATGAAAGAATTAAAAAAATAGCCAGGACTACATACTTCAAAAACAAGCTGTTAGAACTAAAAGGTAACTGTAAAAAAACGTAGGATGCTATTAAAGAGAAAAGATTTGGAAAAGAAAAAATACACAAAAAAGTTTTACCAAGCGTGATTACTGTTGACGGCACACAGATCTCTGATGTAAAATCGGTGGCAACAAAATTTAATGAGTTTTTTGTAAATATTGGTCCAAACTTAGCCAGCAAAACTAAACACACTCCTGCACATTTCTTGAGCTATCTATCGAAGTCTGATAAAAGCTTAGCATTTAAAAAACTCACTAGTAAAGAACTTGACAATTCAATAAAAAAATTAAATAAAAATAAAGCAACAGGCTATGATTTTATTTCAGCAAGCATAATCAAAGACTGCTATGAACTTATTAAAGATGTTTTATTAGATATTTTTAACAAATCGCTTAAAACAGGTGTTTTTCCAGATAAAATAAAAGTTGCAATTATTTCACCCATTTTTTTAACTCTACAGAACATGCACTAATGCAACTTGTTGAAGTTATCAGTGGAGCATTCTCCTAGCACAGCATGTATAAAATAATGTTTTATTACCCATAT